ACACTGTCCAAAACCATTCCAAATTTAATTCCGCCACTCAATTCTTCTGTTCTCCAATTTGAATTAATTTTAAGTTTTTTTATAGGCAGTCTCTTTTTAAAACAGTAAAAGTTCCTCACCAGCTGGAAACACTTTCTCTTTCTATATCCTTCCATTTTGGAGCCGCCCCGACTTCATCAGCCTTGACTGGATTTTTTGTCGCCGGCTTGAAGAACTTCTCTTGCTCCTGGACTTTGCGATGTCCCTGAGGTCAGCAAGCCGTATTCTTCCTGTTCACCATCTCTGCGGGGCGGTTTAGATCTGCTTGGACCACCCAGCGGCAAAAGTATTGGCTAAAGTCTCGGAGCATCGAGACCGCACATCTATATTGTTTTGACATAGGCTCCTCCTCCCGTACCCTTCAGGTATTTTGGGACTGCACATTTCACAGCCAAATGTGAAAACTGTAGTGAGTATCATATTGGAAAAAAATGGTTTACATTGCTAAGCATATTGGAAGTGCTTTCCTGTATCAAAGTGAAATACTGTAACCTTAAATAATTTTAACTGAACCAGTTAAATATTTGGGTAATCTACTGAATATTTCTATGCTATGTTTCATCCGCTATTTGTGTATATGAACATGAATTGACATGATGAAGTCACAATAATTGCTAAACACACTAACATTTTTAAGCATCTAATTAAAAAGCCTAGCCCTTCTAGAACAGGATAAGCAAGTTTAAATTAAAGCTGCATTAAAAACAAAGAAGCATATGCTTTTTAGATGTCAAAATCTTGCTTTGGGTGGTGTTTGCTTCAAGGAAAAATCCTTATTCTATACACAATTTGGTTTTACTATCATTAACTTAATTTAAAATTTTGCTTTAAAGGGAAAAAAATAAGATGTCCTATAGAGATAAAGCTATGTTGTTTTGCATTATTTTGCTACTTCCAAACCAAACAAAATTAAGGGAAATTAAACCAAAACAAAGTACTAGATTTCGTAAGACATAGTAAGCAAATTTCTGTCCAACTTAGTAAGTTATAGTGCTTAAGGCAACCTAAGGGAGGACTCTCTTCATCTCAATAAAATTTTCTGTGGGCTTTGAAATGTCTTAATGTGCAAAAAATAAGAGGATCAGATCACACAGAAATCAGCCTACACAGATACAATTTCTGCGTTCAAGTCATAGATAATGCAATAAACACAAGCTTATTCTTGAATTAGGAATCTGCCAGCTATAGTTCTTACACCTCTTATTAGAGGCATTTAAAATGAGTAGGATATTGCAAATTGATTCATCTGTTCTATGGCATTATATATTAATGTAAATAAATCTGTCCTATCCACTAATCTGATTCTGGGAGAGTAAGCGTGTGCCTAGAATTAAAAGATTTCCATCCCTTCTTTCAGAGTCTTCACTGCTTGGGATGGATTGTAAATCCCCAAAGTGTACTCTGAACCAGGAGTCACTAACCTTTCGGACCTCAGGGACCACAAAAGTCATAATTTTAAATCCCGCAGACCACTAATATGATTTTTTTTAAAAAAAGATAAGTAGTATTTAGTGCACTATAAAAAATGCAAATATTTTTCTGCAGACTATGAAAATTTTCTCACAGACCACCAGTGCTCCCTGGATCACTGGTTGGTGACCACTGCTCTGGACAGTATGTTGAATAGACATCTCCTTTTCCACACTTCAAATTCCATCATGTACCGGAAACATGTGGATCTCTTCTATGTCTACATCTACCATTGCACCCTTGAGAAATCTGTCAATTTAACATGTTCTGAGCACATTCCCTTTCCCCTTGCAAATTAAAAAGACTCTGGGGGGAATGCTGGAACAATTCATATCACTATTAGTATCAAGAAGCCACGCTTGACATGCACCTTGATATCACAATCTTTGAAGTCATTCAATTAACTTCTTTCTTTCCAGGAACAGCATACTGTAACTTATTACTCTGAGAACAGCAGTTTGCCTTTATGAAAATTAAATTGGTTTCTAATTTGCAAGAGCATATTGCTGCTTAGTGAAGAAGGGCACATATCATTGCTAGCAGTGTCAGGCTCTGTCGAAACTAAAGCCTTATGGCAGTTTTTCAATGCTCCCATCACTTTTGTAAGTGACAAATTGGATAAAACCTTTTTTTCCATCCCTGACTTTGGAGAAGCATTGAAAATCAGAATAAACAAAACGGAGCAGCAAGGGCCCCCAGGATTGATGCAGATTAGGGTGCTTAATCACAAATAAGCAGTGTGTTGGTGTTTATTCACTGTTGTTTACCACCTATCAGTGGCAGGAACTAAGCAAATGTGGATTGTGTCATCTTCTATTGGTCTGTTTAGTCTTTCAAACAAATTTACCTCTCATTTTACGGTTACAATAGAACTTTGATCTTTCTGTAGTCTGTCCTGTCTAATCAAAATTATAAATCATAAATTGGTTTTTTTTCTGTTTCACACAAAAGGTCCATATGGGGTTTCCAATCAATGATAAACATGCATCATGGATAATGGTAAAGAAATGCAAAGGGAGCCATCCAGCTCACCTCTTCCTTGTGGTAGATGATGATCAACAGCTGGCAGGCTACTTAAAAATGAAGTCATTCAGAGTCTGAGTTAAAACAGAACAGAATAACAGAATTGGAAGGGAACTTGTAGGTCATCTAATCCAACCCCCACAAGCAGGAGATCCTACACCATTTCTGACAGGTGGCAGTCCAGTCTCTTCTTGAAAGCTTCCAGTGAAGCTCCCAGGACTTCTGAAGGCAACATCTATTCCATGGGTTGATTGTTCTCACTATCAGAAAATTCCTCTTTATTTCCTTGTTCAGTTTCCCTCCATTATTCCTTATCTAGCCTTTGGGTGCCTTGGAAAATAGCTTGACCCTCTCCTCTCTGTGGCAGCCCCTCAAATATTGGACGACTGCTCTCCTGTCTCCCCTGGTCCTTCTCTTCACGAGTGCTCAAGTTTCCAAACTGAAGTTCAATTTCTAAAATGCTAAAAAAAATATTTTAGTCTGCAAGTGGGTGCCATAGTCTTGAAAGATTCCAGTGATGGAACTCCCACAACTTCTGAAGACAAGCTGTTCCCGTTGGTTGACTGCTCTTGCTGTCAGAACATTTCTCCTTATTTCTAGGTTGTTTAGTTTAACTCCTGGTGATTTTGTGTTTTTTTGGCACCAATACTGACGTTTCTCTGACTTCCCAGTAAAATTTAATGTACACCCTGGTATCACATCTCCCATCTAAACACGACGAAAACGAGGCGACTCTGCACGGCATCAGCGTCTAGGAAACCAGCTACTTATACAGTATTCAACTACCAAAAGCAAGGTGGCTTCTACTGAGAAATTAACGGCGTCAAGTTTAGCCGGCCTCCTTCTCAGAAAACATGGCTTCAGCTGTTAACTTTCTCCACCGCCTCCAAGTCCGGTCCAGGCCAAGGCCCGCTATGCTGAAAGGCAGCCTTCTCAACTCCGCTTCCATCAGAACCAAACAGGGTTCGGCTCCAGCACTCCTCCGTCCCTCCCTCCGCCTCTCCTCATCTGAGGCCCTTGCTAGGCAGAGGCTCCACAGGCCAGGACTAAGCGGTGCAACGAGGATCCGCGCGCAAGGCTGGAAAACGATGCCCCTCGGGAACAGCCTTGGCACGCAGCCCTCTAGCCCGGGAGCTGCCCTTCACGGCTGCAACCTGGCGCTCGTGTAGCTACGTTTTCCAGCCGCGGCTAGCGGTGTGTGTGTGTTGTGCGTGTGTGTGTGTTGTGCGTGTGTGTGTATAGCTCACTTTTCCTCCCGCGTGAAAACGTTTCCCATGAAGGGCAAGAAAGTGTGGAGGGGGGGTTGCAGAGAAGCAATGGCTCCCCTCCCCGCTCCGAAACCTCGGGGAAATAAAACGGGACTCCAAACGGAGGCCAGCCCGGCACTCAGCAGCGCCGCGCCAGGAGTCAGCAGAGATCCCAGGCCGGCCTGGCAGGGAAAGGGAGCAACCTGTGGCTACGGCCACAGCGACTCCTCCTCCTCGTCCACCACCACCACGCCCTCGCCGGGCGAAGAAACCGCCTCCTTCCACCTGATCGTTACTGCGACGCTCGATCGTCCGGACGCGGAGAAAACAACCAGCGGCGCCGGAGAAAAGAGAACGAAGACAATCCTGCTTTTCCCCCCCTCGGGAACGAGAGCCGAGGCATGGCAGGACTCCGAGCCGATTGAAGAGGACGCGGGAATCGCGAGCGGGAAAACAGTTACAAGGACCGGCGGCGAAGCAGGAGGGTCCGCCTGCCTGATCCAACGGAGGTGAGTACTGTACTTTGCCTCCCCCAAGAAACGGGGAGAAACTCTTGAAATACCTTTTTTTTTGCACTCTGCTTACCTGGAAAAGGGAGCGCTGCAGCCGAAACTCAACCTCGGAGGAAGTTCAGTACGGAAAACGGGGGTAAAGGGCAGCATTTTCTCAGTACCGTCGGTGTGCCATGATAAACCCATCCCTGCCTTTAATGCTGAAGATCCAGGACAGCAAGTTTCCTGAGCGTGGGAACGCTCTGCCTCGATTTATTATCGATTTACACAACTTTGCCGAATATGGATCAGTTGGGATTTCTACCAGTCTGGTCGGAGTTTTTGTCAAATGACCTTCTAGTATCCAGTTCGTAACAAGAGGGGAAGCTTGAGTTTTATGGAACCCGTTTTTCTGAACTTCGCAGTTATCCTTTGCCTGTGTGGCGACGGGGATAGATGCATTTCAGTAGCAAATATTTCTAGATATATTTCTCTCCGTCTTCCCCCCCTCCCCATTTCTTCCCTTCTCTCTCCCTGTCCCCCCTCCCAATTTCTTCTCTCCAGTAGAAGAAAGTTTTCTTAAATGTTTTCTGATATGAAATCCTGGGAATTAATCACTGTATCATCAAACAAATAGAACTGTTGAGTGTAATTGTTGCTTGACTTTAATTAGGATAATTTGATATAAGGTTTAATAACAGGATCTCTAATCCATATTGAATATTTAATTGCCTAGAGTTGTCTTTTCTCACCCATAAATTACAAGCTTACAGTGAGGGCATAGTATGATTACACCTTTTGTACCTTGGAATTAAATACAAATATCAAAGAACAGGATATTTTTATAAATTATGATCTTAGTCTTGGCAGGCTGCTTATTGGGCACTTTATTGAAGTCATACCAAGTATACACAGTGATGCTGTTAACAAATCATATGGATATGGGTATTTCTGGTCAGGCACAAAAAGGAGAAGTAAAACATTGCCTGATTTTTATCGATCCATAAACAACCAAGCCACTCTATATCTCTATATTCAAAAACATAGGTAAATTCCAATACTTCTGATATGAAATGTCTAAGCATTCTGAGTATCTGGATTTTATAAATATCACCCTATATTTTTATGTGGATATGCTGCCAAGTAAACAAACATTAAGCATATCAGAATTTTCAAGATTTTTCCAAAATGCTGCATTAACCTGATTTAATTCTCTGATTGTCTAGAGAAAAGAATGGCCCCATTTAGAAGTCCCGCTTGATTGCTATTTTTGGTTAAAAGGATCTGTTATGAAACAAGAGGTTGGAATATATTAGCATTGCTGAGGAAAAATATGAGAAAGGGTTCAAGATGGTTTGTGTACTAAGCGAAATGAAAACAAACTCAGGGTGATTCATTTTCTAATACTATAATAAAGTACGACCAGAATTATACGGTGGAGTACAAAAACTGCATCTTATTTTAGCACAATGGTTAAAAGAGGTCTTTGATTGGTCCTGATTCCACATGTAATTGTAATATATACATGAAATATATTACAATATATACGTGAAAAATTCAAGGATAGTATTTCTCATGGTACTTAGATCACTTACAGCCCTTTTGCACCTGATGGATACAAAAGTATAATCCAGCCTTTCCATTCCACTTCACGAGATGTTTCTAAATAATGGCCTTCAGGTAGTTATACATGCAATATGGAAATTTATTGCTTGTCCTTCAACTTTTATATCAGGATTGAAAGGGTTCAAGATTCGGTAGGCCTTGTAGGTCTATTTTTTAAAATACTTTTTATATTGAAAAGAAATTATGCAGTCATACTCCATAGGATTCCAGTCACTGATAAACACTGTAAGTTTCTGGAACATTGTTTATCAACTGAGCCCCATAGCAAGTCTCCACCCTGATATCAGCTTGAACAGCCAAGTTATGAGGATTGTTTAAGTTTCAGATCCAGCATCGTATTTAAATATGATCAAGACAGCCACAGCAGCCCAGTTGAAAGAGGGGAGGACACATGTATAAACTTGTGTTCAAATGCTTGCTCAGTCTTGAAGGATTTCTAGAAATTGCAACTTCATAACATTAGGATTTCCTCTATAAAGTAAGTGTGTCAATGCCTTTCCAGGATTTCTGCAAAAAGGCAAAGTGAGGTAAGAATTCAGGCCATTGCATTGTTAGACCAGAGCAAGTATGTCCACGAGTGATCTCTGAACACTTATAAATCTATCTCAAGGAACCAGTAAATTAAACTTGAGATAAAATTAAAATACATCTATAATACAACCTGGCTACTGTAGAACCACATAGTAAAATCCAAAAGGAACACTCGACATTTAGGCTATAAGAGAGATTTGTGTCTAAAATTACAAAAATGTGAAGACATTTACATTTCATACAGGACGTGATAATATCTGAAGTTATAGAACATTTGATAATACAGTGCCCAAATTTTTTTAAAAAAATACATCCATGTAGCAGAAACCTTCTGCCAAGGTCCAACACAGATAGGAATTGTACAAAATTCTCTACAGGCAGTACCTTCTACAAGAAATAAATATTTAGGCAGGCAGACAGACAATAAATACAGACATTTGTTCTTAGCCTGACAAAATAACAAACTGTTTTTTAAAGCAATAACTACTAATACATCACAAATTCTGATTAATGTTTCAAATAATTATTTGGGCATCTTTATAAAAGTGCACTTATTCAGCTTTGTTTTATAGCTTTAATATCTGTATCATTTATTTATTTTTTGAAATGGCATTTCTACTTCAAGGCTATGACTCTGGGTTGCAGCTTTAAGAAACAAGTACATTTCTGGTTTATGACAGCAACATATTAAAGTATTTCTGGAAAATGGAATTTAAGTGAATTCATATGGAATGAGTAATGCCACTGCCTGTCTGTTATATACCTTACCAATATGTTCTGTGATATTTGCATGTTTCAGTATGTCTCCATTTTGCTGTAGAAGTGGAATTATGTTGTCTTGCTATGGCTTGGTACTCTTACAATATTCACAACAGAAGGCTCCTAGTTTATCATTCAGAGCAAGCTTGCAAATTAATAGTGAACTTACAGTAAATTATCAGGGATCAAAGTATTTTGCAGATAGTGCTTCTCAGGGCATCTCACCCTGTTCTAGTACCTGGGCAGAAAAAACTACGTGGGCAATATTGTTTCCTTCACTTTACCTTTCTTCCTCTTCAGTGATCAATCCACCCATTTTTCTTTTCTTTTCTTTTTTTATTTTTTTTATTTTAATTGAACAAAAACACAAAAAAATCATCTTTCATTACATCTTGTAGAAAGTGTGTTGATTGGTTACAGATAACTTCCGTGCATTTTCTTCCACAGTCATTACTTATAGTTCATATTAGATTATACACTTTAAGT